TACAACTTCATCAATATTCTCTCTTTTCTTTCAAAAGGAAGTTTTTCTTGATCAAGTTTGGTATGTAACATCGTCGTGATATAACACGTGCAATTCAATACATTCCCAGAAGCGCCGTTTAATCAGATCTGATTCGATGATCGCCGGAAGGCGAGTCTTCCGCTTTCCGATAGCGCAACGCCGTGCTAATATTGACACACACATGTAGACTTATATTCGCGATGGCGACGCATGAATGGTAGGGTAGGGCGCAAACGCATGTACACACAACGCGTGCATGGATGCAACAACGGGGGAGGCAGATCCGAGGTTGCGCCAGGGGAGCGGCCGGCTCATAGTGGCGGAGGCGGAGGCGGAGGTGACGGTGGCGGTGGCGGCGGCTGCCGCGGCAGACGGTTTCATCGATTGGCATTGCCAGCATCGTCCGAAGGAGAGTATGAGCGGGGTCCGTGAACTCTGTGCTGTTGGCGCATCCCGGTTTTCATGGTCATGGGTAAGAGGGCGGTTGCCCTCGACGGAGGGCCGAGAACTCTATACCTTATATATCACGTCCTTCGCGAAACTCATGACGGGCAGGAATGATTGCCGTAATAATATCACTGATATCGTTATTCCTTTTCTGAAGCTTCGCGTTCAAATCGAATGAAATGTTTTAGCGTTCTAGTTGAAACACGCATTCAATACGAATTTGAATTTCAAAGTCGAGCCAGAGAATGATGTTCCATTCAGGGTTCTGATGTTATGCATAGTACACTTTCCATCCATTTAATTACAAACATAAAACAAACTGAAGGAGAAATAAGATCATTGCTATCCGTACATATAAATGTTATAACTCTGAAGAAAACGAAGATATTGTTCAGCTGATGTGTGGCGAGATGTAAGAGAATATTCTGAATATATACGTTCGCCTAGTAACGCCACTGTTCATGAGACTGAAATGGTCTCGCAATCTGAGAGACGCTAATCGCGAGCGAGCTGAGCCGGGTAAACGCAATTGCATGAAGGCACAGAAGCGCGCAATTCACGATGGAGTTGCGCTTATTCAGAAGCCCCCTCGTTCGCCTTGAAACGAGCGCACGCTCGAGACATGATAAAATGCAAATGCAACGCCCAATGACGATTTTCCCTTAGGAAAACGCAAAACACGTGCAAATTGCCACAATAATTAATGCTATAAATAAAAAATAAATACATAATTTCTAGCGAGTTTTCTTGAATTTTAAAAAATGTATGCGATATTAAACGTGATAATTATAATGATTAATTAAACATTATATCAATATCTACTAATTGTAAATTAAAAATAATTAGTATTCAACATTATTTCCAGAAATCGTTCTGTGATGATAAAAAAATCAGCGCCGAATGTGCTACACATGAGAGAAAATGAACATTGAAATGATAACGACGATGACGACGATGACGACGATGACGACGAGGACGACGAGGGCGACGATGACGAGAAAGACGCATATGCGTACTCCGCGTGCGTTGTATGCATCTGTCAAAACCACGCCCTTATCCCCATCTTGCTGCCTCGCGCTATTCGCCTGTATA